TTTCAAATCAAAGCAGGATGCTTCCTCTAAAAACACACTTTAGTTCAAACAAGAACTTGAGAAAGTCTTGGAAACTATGCTCTACAAGAGAGCAGACTGAACACATGGTGTTCCCTTCTGCCTTCTGAATAGATTACACTGAAACAGTTAGTTTATCTCACAGAAATACCTCAAAGGAAGTACAGATTTAAGAAGGGGAGAGAAGTCTCATGCATTTTGGTCACTCTGGATCATGCAGTACACTTGGGGCAATATGGTTGTGTTTCAGAGGCCTGAAAGGAAATATCGCCTGGACACAGCAAGAGTGAACAGTTTTGTAGGTAGGGACCCCATATTTCTGTCCCAGGAATTATGAGAACAAAAGCAGTAACAGCATGCTGTCTTCAACCTAGTTGATGCCAGAAATTTTTCATGCCAGAAGATTGCTCAGCCCAAGCCTGTGAGGGTACAGCTCCTTTCAGGCTCTTTGTGTATCATGAGAGAAAAATAAAGACTGACGCAGTGCACCTGAAAAAAGCAACTCATGTTTTTGGCCTCAGTGAAATGAACAGGGCTGACATCCTGCAGATAGTCTTCACCATATAAAGAAACAGCTAGCTAGAATGGACACAGAGACTTGAAAATTTCCTGCTTCAATTATACCCATACCTTCTACAAATACAAAATTTGCAAACACCAAGTTTCCAGTCTTGGGGAATAAAATTACTTCAACTGATGACACTCCTTTTTGGATGTAATGAGATTCAAGTTATTGCCTTGTCTGGTGCCAAGTAAGAACTTAGACCAGAATCTCTTGTACCTTAGGACAGGATCTCGTGCCACAAGGCTGCTGCATATTCTGAGCATGACTACCTAGTTCTTACTGTAAGAGTCATTTCTGAACAAAGAAAAGACTGTGTAAAGATAGCCACATTTTGAAAAATGTGCTTTAGTGAGAAGCTGATACACAGATTGAGTTGAAGAATGTTCTTCAAGAGAGAGAGCAGAATTTTTCTCAAGTACTTCTTTCAGTAGCCAAGATCTTTACTTCACAATTTAGAACTTGTGCATACCCGGCTGACAGGATTAATATGCAGTGTAGGAGTTCACCCGCACAGACGGTGAGCATAATGTACAGTCATCACATAGAGATAACAGTTCAGAGGTGGAAAAATCCTTCCAGGTTGTTCATGACAGATCTATGGCAATGGTCACCCACAACAATTTATTTTTAGAGTTCTGTACAGCCCACTTTTACTCATGATTCTCCCAGAGACCCTTTAATTCATACATACTGTTAAAGCTCACGTGACTCTCTTTGGAGAGATAAATCATAGTACCACTTTTGGATCTGCGCTTTCCCACACAGGCAACGTGCTGTTGAGGAGCTGTATGTAAAAGCAAGCTTCCAAACAAAGGACTTTGCAGTTGAGCAGCACTAAAATAACCCGAAAACTTTTCAAGTATAGACTTTATTTCATTCATATTTCATGGTCTGTTTCTGTAAAGTTTTAGCAGAAAGGTCATGTTCTGTAACAGAGTTCTTGAGCTTGAGTATTCAGGGCTGGCAACAGACTTCAAAAGTACAGAAAATGTTTACATTCCAACTAGACCAGTAGAATTTCAAAAATACATAGTAAAAATAATCAAAAATACCAACATTTATTAAAACTCAATAGAAAAACAGCAGTCTGTCTGACACATCAACCTACCCTGCCTGCTAGGTGTCAGCAACAACTGAAGCCACAGCAGGCCACCCAACTGACTTTTTAGACTGCTGCCTTCAACTAACTTGTTAATATAAAGTTTTTCTGCTTCAAAGGTCAAAAAAATTATCTGTAAGTTCATTGCTTACAGGTTTCCAATCAGAGAAGCTAATGTTTCTGCTCAAATCTGCTGGACCACTTCCAGATCCTGCCCAGAATAAGGACCTGTTCTGGTCCTGACGTCGTCAACTAATTTTTTCAACACAGTTTCAAGCTAACCTATTTTATTAAATTGCAGCTAAGAAAGGAAAGCCCTTATTGTTTAAAGGTTTATCAGGGCTTCCAGGAATAAAGGCAGCTAAGAGAAACTGAACAGAATGGTACTTGATGACATTATTTATCACTAGGGGCCTTCAACATTCTTTCTTTATAGATGTTGCGTTGAGATTTGCAGTTATCTAGGGTTATGGTTCCTAAGGGGCCCCAGATTCACATGTGTGAATTCCAGAGTGGATTTTTCTAGTTCAGCAAATACTATTTAAGTCTGGACTGATGCCCAGTAGGAGATTTCTAACCAGCTGCTGAACTTTAGTCACAGATTTATTGAATATGTATTTATGCAAATTATACCAGCTGAAAGGCCCATCAGCTCTAAGCACACCCACATCAGCCCACAATCAGTGCTGCCAGGGGAAAAAAATACATGTGATTCTGTGTTGACTATGAGACATTTCTATCAGCTATAGTCTCCTTAAATCAGAAAGTATTACACTGCAAGGCTAGCATTTCCTTCCTTTTACTCATCAGAGCAGTGGAAATAGGATGGAGGTCACCAGTAGACCCACTTTTTCTTGTCTCAAACAGATTGGACTTCTTTTTTTCTGACTTGCTTTCATCTCTAGGTAGCCTATCATCTTGTTTTCTAGGACAATCACTTCCTAAAATATATATATATTCTGAACTTCAAATTCTCCTATTTGATGGGTAGAATAAGAATTTTAGGAAAAGTAGGAAAGATATCCTATGTATTTTCTCACACCTCACCTCTAGGCACATACAGGTATCCAATCAACAGAACTGCCTGCTACTGCCTCCTCTTCCTGTAAGCTCAGAAGAATCAAGCATATTTTTTTTGGATTCTTTCATAAATGGCCTAAGGTACCATGACATCTATCCTGCCAAGTATCATTTGGTGCAGATATCACAACTGATTCCAAAGGGGCTGCATCGGACATGACCTACATTATTACACTGTGTTATTCTGTCTTCCTGCCTTCTGGGTTTCCTGGCTGAGTTTTGATATTGCTGTGCTGCAAGTAATGAGACATCTTAGTATGCACAACTATAGCATGTATATTTAAAAAAATACATGACAACACAGTCTGTGAACACTTTTCTTTCAATCAGTTCCCACCTACTGCACTAATCTTGAGCAGGTGGGCAGGATACCTGGCAAGGCATAGCTACTAGTTTGCTATAGCTCCACTAGGGTGAATCCTGGTACAGTATTTCTCTGTAGGCCTATTGACAGTACAAATACAACAGATTTCTCCTCTTTGTGAGGCATGTTCAGCATTTCTTTTCATCAACGTAAAAAGGGGAAAACCCCTTACAAGAGAGAAGTCCCTTACAATTTCTCTAATGCACGTATTTGAGGAAGACTACAAAAGTACTCTCCCCAGTCTTCTGCAATATTGATTCCCAGAGGCATCAGAAAATGGAAAGGTCTAGTCACAAATCAGCAAGACATCCACTTTACTTTCAAGTTTCTTTTTTTTAAAAAACCTGAAAGAGGTAATGGGAGTGATCAAAGCATCAAAATACCCAGTCACCTAGACAGCAGGGCTTTTTGAAAACATTGTCACACAGAAAGGAACATACCATAAGCAATCCAGAGCCCTTAATGTTCTTAGACAAAGTCACTCTTAGTTCTCTACACAGACTGCCTCTGAAAAAAACCCTTCAGACTGGAGGGAGTGACATAGTTAAGTGTCTGGATAAACAGAAATTAAATAAATGTCTGTAGAACAGCTTTTGTAACATGACTACTGTAGATCTCTACTACTCTGGCCTAATACCTTATGCAGACAGAAGTGTTAGCTGTATCTCAAGGCAAGCAGGCTAGGAATGATATAAACCTATCTGGAGGAAAAATGTTTTGGGATTTCATTTTTGGATTGGGACTGTTGAGGGTTTTTTATGTTCAAACTCAAGGTAGATAAAAATTTTGGGGAGATTAGCCAAGCTGACATTCCTGTCCCCTGTTACATTCACCTCTTTTCTCTAAATAAAAAAAGAGAGGGAAAGGGGATGGGAGATGGACTTGTTTCACCACAGGCCATTTATGTTCCTTTTCCTTTCAAACTTTTTTTTTCCCCAGTACTTAGTTATCTGATTTCACAGGAAAGAAAAAAAAACAAAAAAAACAGTTTATGCTTGTAAACCAGAGATACACATATCAAATAATATGCAACTAGTCTTGCTGAATTAATCCTGGTAAATGATTATCTTCCTTGTGCTATAAGGGGAAAAAAAAAAAAGTCACTGCAGTCTTTAATAATGATGTTTAATCTGTTAGCCACTGAGAAAATCCAAACCACTTGCCTTGTACACTGCTCTGCCATTAATAAACATGGCTTTGGAACAAAACAAACATTTCCAGTGCAAGCCTTGTGATTTTCACTCACTCAAATTGTACGGATCAAAATCAAAAGTATACTTATCAAATCACGTCATTTCACTTGGGTCCTAAAGACTCTCACCACATTGACCAAAGACTGCAATGAATAGAGAATGCTAATTCAAATGCACTAAAACCCCAAAGCAAGACTCTGCTACAACAAAGGACAGCAACAGCCTAAAGATACCACCCCACCAACCTAAGTTTCCTCTCCTCTCCCCAGCTCCCTTCATCTAATTGCAACTGATGATAGTCCAACACTGGGTCCTGTTGTGATCCTCCATCCTCAGAACTGACTATCTGAAGAGGGGACCAGGGAGATGTTTGCTTGCAGAATACTGCAAATCACTGTTTTTACTGTAAGAATGGGAACATGGCAGCAGAGCACATCCAAGCTTCTAGAGTCCCAGGAAGTACATGAAATTAGCATGGAGTTCAAGGTCACACTGAAATAGTAAGCACTCATTCTGCCAAGACCCCACCATGCTATTCCAGTCCCACAACTGGCTCTGAAGACAAGTCATTCATGGCATGTCACCTGGCAAGTCTTGGACTCAAAAAATGCTCAAGTAAAAGTTTGAGACAGGAAATAGGAGGCACAAAAATAACTTGACCAATAGCTATGTACTTCTTTACTATATATTGGGATAAGGGGGGTCTTCAAGGTTACTATCAACTTTATCAGATCCTGTTAGAGATGCTTCTAGCTCTGCCCATGACTGTGGAGCATTGTTCTTTATTGCCTCTATGAAAAGCTGTGTTTGATGCTTCAGCCGGTCCAGCTCGGCCTGAGTCACCTGGTTCTGATGAATGAGCTCCTTGGTTTTTAAAGTTATCTCCAGCAATCCAGACCTGCGTAGCACAACAAGTGTGTTCTGAAAGCGTCTGCACTTGCTTTGCTGTTGCAAGAGTAGCTCAGGGGTAGTGCAAATCTCTTCCGGTATCAGTGGGGGGCTCCACACTGCAGACTGCATCGTAGTCTGTGCTGCACTATCGCTCTCATGAGGGGTGCATTTTGTTGCCTGCAGAGTTCCAAAAGGCAAAACGGGAGTCAAACCTGGCAGTTTCTGAGTGTCACTAGAAACACGATGAAAACCAGGAAGAGCTGACAGCTTTCCACTTGTGACTAGAGTTGAAGAACTCTGCTGGTTAGAATCCCGAGGGGTCTTAAAGCTAACAGGTAGGTGGGCAAAAGGACTAGTAGGCAAGCCTGTGCTCCTTGATACAGCAGAAGTCTCCATCTTGTGTGTTTCTGTGCAGAGTCGTTTATGGCAACTGGATTCCTGACATTCTTCTAGATCAAAGGAGCGATCTCTTTTGCAGGGCTGTGGTGCTATTTTGGGATAAGAATTCAGGATGGGCAGGTAATTAGTGGAGTCATTTCTCTTTTTCCCAACAGGGTGAGGGTTAATGGGAGGTGGGATTGATGGACGAAGAAAGACTAGCTGTGGCTGAGCTGGTATCACTTCAAAGGATGGCTGCACCGTCCAAGACTGGAGCTGTGATGAACTCCCCTGAGAAGCACAAACAGGATAAAAACAGAAGTCTTACAACAACATTGTAGAAAAGGATCAAAAAAACTTAAATGAAACAGGTGGACCGTGCCATTTCTCCATATTTGATATACACTGTCCAATTAATACATTCTGAACAGTTTTACATCAAACTCATCCTTCTCCTTCCCCAACAACAAAGCACAACACTAGAATCAAAGCTGTCATCCATAATCCCTTTACTGTGGAACAGCAGATACCTTTAAAAACAATTCAATCTGAATTCATACATGCTTTCCTAAATGAAGATTACAGTGCATGCTATATTGTACAATGCTCATGTAAAAGTTCGACCTAGACTGGGGGTCAAACAACAAGTGTACAGAAAAATTCAAAAAAAATTAAGCATTGCGATTATATTTTTAAAGAATCAAACAAAGACTGTAGAGGCATTTTAGGAACAATTCAGACTCCCTCTTTGTTGAAAGGCAGCACTCTAATCTTGTCAACTCTATTCTTATAGCAAGCTTTTGAAATGGTTATTCAGTAAAGACAACAGCTGTTCAGTAAGTTTTGCAATCTTAAGTTTCAACAAATTTAAAACCAAGAAGTAAAAAAAAAAAGCTGAATATCAACCAATGCAAGGGAAAAAGCCTGCTGTAAGCCCAAAGCAGTTTAGCTCCACAGCTCTGGTGATATAGTGCACACTAACGAACCTTAAAAGCATTATATTTCAAGAAAAACACCCAAGTTTTCACTCTCTCCCACATGCCATACTCTGCAATATAGGAGAATACATCAATTTTTACAAGACAACACCTCTTCTCCTTTATTACATTACTACGGATCTTCACTAGATCCCCTGGCCAAAAAGCATACCTGCTTTTCTCTGAACATATACAAATGATCTAATAAGAGGTACTATTTCTTTCTGAAGCAAAATCTAACTTCTTCATATATTTAAGTCATTGCCACCACAATTAATATACTGTCAGCTGCTTTTCCAATTCCTTATGACTTAGAATGCTAGTGGCAGGCCTGCTGTAGGCAGAGTTTTTAGTGCACGTACATTTTACTGGGTTTGGTACTATACTGAGTCACCTGAAATGCATCTCCTTTCCCCCAGTCTCATAAAATTTAAACTGGCAAATGCTACCATTTCCCCAGTAAAGGACTTGAACTTGCCACAAGTAGGTATTATGGAGATGAGATTCAATTACCTAGTCCGACACAGAATTTCTTTGGTTCAGTGGGCAAGACACTTACGGAATAGGGGTACAGAACAACTACCTGTAAAAATAAGTATTACTACCTTACCTCAAAAGACAGGACAAACACATTCAAAAGAAAAGTACCTGGAGATGTTAGGAGTGAGAAGTATAGAAATACTGTGGCTACACAAACACAAGACCCTGTAGCCTTAAGAAGCAAGGTTTTGGGATCAGAATTTATCATTTACTGCACAACTGTGCAGTATCTAGCACAGCAGAGCTGTAAAAACATTGAAGTCAAAAGAGCTACGGTAGATGTTTATCTTGTTCTGTTTTTTCCTATGTCTATTACCTACTTTCCTCTTTGCACTCATGCAGCATTCTGCTCTTGCTCCTACCCAAAATCTCATTTTTAGTAGAGAAGGACATGCTTATTTTACTAATTCTGCAACGTGTTGTGTTTGAGTTGGTTTTTAGGTGTTGTGGGAGTTTTTTGGGTTCATTTTAATGAAAGATAACATCCTGCACATACCAGCTTAACTTGTCTAAAAAGCCTTCGTACTTATTAAGGACTTCCATAAGAGTTACAGAAACCTTGCCACAAGCACCACCGTGTTTCAAAGAATTAATCCTCGCTTGATTTTTTTTTTTTTTTTTAGTAACATTGTTAGCTGCTTACATTCTGAAATTGGGACAGCAGGTAACCACCACTGTGCAGGATCACAGTGGTTCTAAGATAGAAGGATGATGCTGACTGAAACTGAAACAAATAAACAGCAGTAACTGGATGCTGCCTTTTGTTGTTTTCTTTTTTGGTCCAGGGCCGTGTTGAAAAGACCATTTCAACAAGATAACCAGCATGACCATCTGAGGTAACTAGGCATAAAGGAAAGAGGCTGAAAGACACTTCATTGTTAGTATTTTGACCTGGACTTATTGCTTTTGTTTATAGCAGCAAATATTTTCCAATTCAACATTATTGTCCTTAACCATACATAATTAGACTTAGAAGTTATGATGCACTGCTCAAAAGAACAGAGTCTGGTAATTTTACCCACCTCCAACTCTTACTCCTAAATTTCCTTTTTGATAGACCACCAGCGT